TTTAATCATTGGAACACCTCTAAAATGTTAAATATTAACATTTCAATAATGGAAATTTTCCACTTAAATTGTTATATAACAATTGATTCTTTGAAACTTAATTTCCACAGAAAAATGTTTGTAACTTATCAATATTAAATTTTGACACATAATTGGCATAATTCTATTGTAGTTATAAGTAGTGTTAGATTTCGATTAGAGACTCACTAGCGAATACCATTATTGTAGGAATCGGTAGTGGTACACGTGGAACGTAGTTCAAGGCACCATTTGCATCATCTAAATGCATTGTGAGTATTCACGCACTCCCCTATTTTCAGTTTTTTTTATGTTTTGGGGTGGAAAAGCATGTCCCGAAAAACTATTATTTGAATGTTGTATTTAAATTGATTTGTATCAAACATGATTGCTATTTTATTGCTATGTCTCTCTATGTATGTCTATGCAACACGGAACATGAGAACTTATCGTATTAAGGCCCTTCCCTTATCTCTAACCATTAACTCTTTGAGCCAATGGTCATTATGGATAGCGCTATTAGGAATTGACAACTCCTCACTCGCCCTATTGCTGGAGTGCATGATACCATATTCATCTATGGAACGATAAGCATAGATCTTGATAGGGCTTCAGTCATAGGTTTGGTTGAGACTCATTGTTTGCTCGTACACATACAAACTCGTTTCTCGTTATAGCAATATACTTGTTATTAATTATAGCAATGAACTTTGTTTCTCATTACAACAACGAACTTTTATTACTGAAAACTTTATATACATGTTTTAGCAATGAAATTGTTTGCTCCTTGTAGCAACGAAATTGATTGCTCATTTTAGCAATGAAACTTGTTTACTCGTTTGAGTAACGAACTTTATCTTCCATGAGAATATGAATGTTGCATCTTATTTGGGCAACATACCTTATCCCTCATGATGACAAAGAACTTTGTTTTTACAAACTTATTTACTCATTTTAACAATATACTTTTATTATTGGAAACTTTTATCAAAACTTTGATTTCAATTCATGGAACCAGTATTATTTTGTTTATCTGTGAGTACTCACCAACTATTTTTATAGTTGACGCTCGTTTTACATGCTTTTTCAGGAATCATCGAGTAAGTGGCACTTAGGGACACTTCACTTTTAGGAGCATTCGCATGTGTTGTATTTCAATTTACATTGTAATTTCTTTTAAAAGTTGTTCAAACCCATTGTAAAATTGTAATGATTTTTAATACTATGGTTGGTGTTGTCTTTCAACTTTTGCTATGAAACCCTTTATACTGCCACGCCTCGTGTTTCCGCTTTAGCGGGGTGTGACATTAGGAGTGCATATTTGGTGTTCTTAAAGGGAGAAGAATGAAGTAAATCGTCTTTGAAGCTCAAGGCTTCTTGGATCTAGAAGTGCTTCACCCTCAAGCATCCTTTGAAGGTATAAAGTCTGAAACTTGATGAGTTATTTGCTTAGATCTTGCTAGCCTTGAGTTTGTGTTCATGTTTGGTCCCATAAGCTTGGTGTTCATGAGTATGGATTTCTCTAACCATAAGAGTTGTCCTTTCAAACGTTTTTAGGTGCTAGGAACCATAAAAATGTGATCTTGGTCCTTCTATCCCTTCCATGCAAGAGTTATGATGTCTTAATGGATTATTAAATTAGGATTTTAGCTTTTGGACCATTTCTAGCCATGGAAAGTCATAAAGGTGGAAACTTTATGACTTAGAGTGATATTTTGGGTCTAGATCTGAGTTTAGATGAAAAGCCTTTATGGAATAAGCACATCTTTAAGAGAAAAGGGTCCAGACGGCGTATTCTGGGCATACCCAAGGGTACGTTTTGCGCGTACTGGGCTGAGAACCCATGGATTGGAAGCATCGTGACTACGCCCAGCGTAGTGACTGAGTACGCGGGGTGTACTAAGTCTGCATTGACTTTCCTTGACTTTTGACTTTCTAACTTTGACCTTTGACATGGGGTTTGACCAAGTTTGACCTATCGACATTTAGGGATTTTTGACATGTAGTTTGAGTTTAGGTCACTGTTTGTTGCATAGGTGACATGTAAAGTTGACATTTGGAGCAGCGTTCTTTTTTTGGTATCTTTTCATACTGTGAGATGAGTTTCCTCACTGTACTTGTAGGTCGAAGGCACCAATGTCGGCCCATTCGGTTATGTATTTTGGTATATAGGATGTTGCTATGATGTAGTGATCTGTTAGATCTACATGATTATTTGTTTGTTTATTATATGTTTATCTGTTACATAATATGGGTGGGTTGAGGCTGTATTGTTTTGTGATACCAGCCAACAACTCCGGGCAATCCAATCGGGAGATTGTGGGCCAGAATGGCAATCCAATCAGGAGATTGTGGGACATAGTGGCAATCCAATTGGGAGATTGTGGGCCAGGGTAATCCAGTCGGGAGACTGTGAACCCAATATGCATTTTGTATCTTTATTGGTTGTGTATGGTATTTAGGGGAACTCACTAAGCTTTGGCTTATAGTTTAAGTTTTATGTGTGAGGTACTTCAGATGATCGGGGCAAGGCGAATGCGTGATTGTGCACATCCTTTAGTTTTTATGAAATTTGATTTTGGGATACTCTGATTTGTGATTTTGACTTTTGGAAACTATGTTTTGTAAACATTTATGGTTGTGGTTTGGTTTTGAAAAACAAAAATTTTACCTTGATTTTTGGGATGTTACATTTATAAAACTGATTCTATCACAACTAGACTGTTACACATATTAGGTAGTGTACTTAATCGTGTAATAGTATAGTTGTAGTAAGACCATGTGTCGAACACTAGAGAAATGGGTATGATTTTGATTCAGAAAACTAAGTTATTAATTAATAATGAACATGTTTTTTATTGGGATTGGATTTGATAATGTTTTGGTGGTTACAAAACTAATTCCATAGTTTGTTGTTACATTAAGTATTTGATTACGTCTTTTATGTCGGTTAAACACTATTATGTAACGGGGTTTTATGTTAATATGTTGTTAAACAATGTTATACTATGTTTTGTACTGATTTTGGTTACTATGACACCCCAATTGAATGTTTATGTTGTGTTTATAGTATTTTGGTACTTAAATTGTAACTTAATTTATGATAGTACAATGTCATTTCTATGATTTTGCAACATGTTTGATGAAAACTGGCCGCTTCCAATTTGACAAAAACATTTTTTTCCAATTAAACAAGAAGATTACATAGTACATCCACAATATTTACATTACAAAACACAACTACCTAGTACACAAGAACAAGACTTAATGGGAAGTATGTCACATACGATTGAAAAACAAAAACTCTACAATTTTTGCAATCAACATCATCCTGTACTTATTTACTTCCGACGTAACTTGAATAACAGTAGCTTGAATCCATTTTTTTACTTCAAGAAACATATGATGATATCCATGGACGTAAGACACATTTGTTGGTCGGTCCAACCAATAAATGTTCACCTATAGTTGGCTTTAAATAAGACCGAAACCAGTTATCAGGGTTGGTGCTCATCCATGATGTGAATATTATTGTAGGTCGCCCATATGTGCAAATCACCATTTTCTTTCTTCTGAAATACGGAAGCTCATAATAATGCTTGTACACGTTTGAAGGAAGAATAAAAATCTTAATGTATGGAGTGTAGAGAGAAATATCTTGTACATATATATATATTAGAGTCTCCAAAGCAAAGAGGATATTTATAAAGAAAATGACCAAATTGTCCTTACCTATAGGACACGTTGTGAGAGTTTATGGACCCTTATTGACATCGTTTGTCAAAAGTACGAGTGGTGGAAGAAAAGCAAACCTAAACGACTAATGGTGGAAGAAAAAAAAACTTTAGACTAAAGTTGCAACGAACCCCAAACTACATGGACAACCGGTGTAATTTAGTCTTTTTTTTAATGCCCAAAAATGTTGGTATTTGTTAAATAGTAAACAAGAAATTCTCAAATTTTTAATACCCCTCGTATATTTTATATGAACAAAAATTTAAACAATAAACATTAAAATTATAAGTTTATACGAGCGATATTACCACCGTTTGGCGGAGGGTCGTAATCTGTAAATTTTCTAACTAATGACAATTTACATATGAATCCGTTTTTATAATTTTGTAATAGGGACCAAACCTGCCAACATACCTAATTATCAAACGGAATGAAAAAAAAATCATATTTACTTGCGAAAAATGGAATGAAAACATTTCTTTTGGACCATAGAGGTGCTTTGTTTCTCGTTTTTTAAAACTTTGTAATTTACTTTTATTTATATAACTAGATGTAAGACTCGTGTATTACACGAATTTATTAAAAAAACTAGGTTAAAACCCGTGTGATACACGGATTGACAAATTAAAATAGCAAAACTAATACATAATAAGTGGTTTGCAATAAAAAAAAAAGCAACAGTATTCAAATCTATTTGGATGACATGCTATAATTTGGTAATTTTTCAAAATACAATGTTACAACAGATAGAAATAAAAGTGTGATGCTATAATAAATAAATCAACAAAACTACATTGCCATTTCTTGTCAATTGTATAATGTCTTAATGAGAAAAATAATAATAAGAAAAATTATGATTCAATTTGAGACTTAAGGAAGCCATTACTGAATAACTTGAGAACCTAAAGACATGCAACAAACTTTAGCAACCAACTCTTAAATACATAGCACCAACCAACAGTTTAACAATGAAACTGACTGGGAATTAAGAAGCAATCACCATAACAGCCCCAAAGGCATTGAGCATCAGAAGATAAAAGCAAATGACTAAACTTGATGGGATAAAAGCAAAAAATAACACATTGAAAACCAAACCGAAAAAACTGTTACCAATAGAAAATAAATGAGTGAATCACATCAGAAAGACAATTTGAAGACATATACATTGTTGTGTTCTTACAACGTTTATGATATAACAAACAATGCATATTAATATACTTGATTAAGAGATATAGAATTCACTATCCCTTTAACACATCGTTGCATAGCCTTATACACAAAACGAAGTTTACAACATATTAGCAAAACAATTTAATAACAAAAAACATACAGAAAGAGCCAGCAGAGTTGAAGATTGTTGAAGGAAGAATTCAATTCTATCAAGTGACTTGGTCAAAACTCAATAAAACTGTACACACACAATATAGGTTAGTTAAATTATACAAATTGGCAGAACTTAAACAATTTCAATTCAGATTATATGATTTTTGGGGCTAAAACTTTTTTTGGGGGGAATTTTAGCCAAAATCAATACTGTTACATGAACATGATAGAAAAAAGAGTCTCCATAGAACAACATCACCAATTGATTCAGTAAAGAACAAAAACCAAAAATGTAGGTTATAATTAACGTTACCTTGTAGTAACTGTCACTGGGGATCCTTGAGTTGTATTTTCTGGTGAGAACTCAATATATATACCAGTAGTTAGAGGAAGATATCAATCTTATGATTTTTGAAACTTTCATTATGATAAAAATTAATAAATTTTTTATTCTCTAAAATGAAAAAGAAAACAACGCGAGATTTGGAAAAGAGCATTGTGTTAGAAATGACCAAAATAAACATGTATTTAAGCTAACAGCTTTACGTGGCTGAATAAAGTGTTGTACAAGGCCATTAAACCATTTTGACCAACATCTGCACAAGCCTTTCCATCAAGTCCAACTTATGGTTTTCGGAGGTCAGCAAAACTACAAATTGTTAGCAAAAATACCCATGGAGTCAACTTTTATGAAAGAAATACAAAGGACTGTTGTTGATCATTTTTTGTATTTTAGCCTTTGGCGACTCCAATACCTCCTCAAGCAATTAATATTATTTCAAATCCTTTTGAGTTCAACTTTTCAAGCTGCAAGAAAATCGTTTGTTACATAAGTTAAACAAAAACATCATTGGAAAAAACAACTTAGCATGCTCAAGTCGAATATCAAGCATTTAAACAAATTTTCATTATATAGGTACACTTTTTAAGGAAAATTATATGCCAAAGCAATAGATCCAATTGCAGTGAATAAATAACTATAACTCTAAATAAATAAACTATTAATTAAAAAATATTAAAATATCAATCATTGGGTCTTTAATAATCAGCATTACCTTGTTTTTGCAATAAGCTTGAGTTGCGCCATTTCCATTATCACTATTAAAGATGACCCATGTAGTATACTGTTAATTGTTAACCAAAATATCATTACATCGACAAAAAAGTAGTAGTTTGCTTGAGAAATGATGATCAAAACATAAGTTTGGTCTATGTAAACAACGAAGATGGTTGTAAGATTAAATGAGAGTACTTTTTGATATGCTTGAAAATATAGAGAAAAATGAAAATTTTAGACTCCAACATAGAGACTCATAAATCTATGCAATCAATTGAAGTGGGTTGGCATAACCAAGCCCTGTAAATTATTTTTTGATAAAGCACTATATTTTCAAATCTATTAAACCAAATCAATTGAATTCGATGACTTTTCAAAACGAAAAAAAAAAAGCAATCCTCGGTAAGATGGATATTATGACTTTTCAAAACAAAAAAGCAATCCTCAGTAAGATGGATATTATGTTTTTTCAAAACAAAAAAACACTCCTCGTTTACAAGAATTAAAAGATAACAAAAACATTAAGATAATCCTACCTTCAAAGAACATTCAAAGAATGGATGTAGAGAAATGATTTAGCCGTATTGTGAATTTAGTTTCTCATATTCCTCCAAGGTACGGTTGATATTCGCCCAAAAGTACCAAAGAGTAACGCAAGTGCTTTACTGCATCCACATACATTCCAATTACAATTGTAATAAATCCAGCATCGGTTTTGTACATTATCGAAAATACCAAATTATCCAAGAAGTTACAAGGGTTTAGTAAATTATAATGAAAATAAATCTATAAATAAAGCAAATCTGCATGTGATTAAATCAAAACCAGATAATTGAAAAAAAATCGAACCCAAATGGTTGAAGCACTAAAATCGTTCAAATTTGCAGGATCTATTCAAAACTAAAACCTAGAGAGAGAAAGACCCAAAATCGGAACAAACATGTTCATGTTAGAAAACTCAAATCAGTCCTGGTTCTGGTTTATGAGAGAGAGAGAGAGAGAGAGAGAGAGAGAGAGAGAGATATTAGCGACCCAAACTACCCATAAATCATTCATAAATCTTTTTTCAAAGCACAAAACTTACCGGCACCTCGTTGTAAAATAAATCCTGATTGATGGAATCGAACGACGTGCTTCGTTTCTCTGTGATGTGCAAAGAATTGTTGATTTGACTTAAAGCTCTGTGATACCTTCTCCGATTTTCGTTGATTTAACTTAATGCTTCGTTTCCAACGCCGTTCTTGCAACGAACTATTGATGGAGAGGGAAGAGGATTAGGGTTTAAGAATCTACCTTCAATAATAGGTGATTAAGTTTGGATATGATTATGATTTCTGATTTCTTCCTATGGAATTCATGATTTCTTGTACTGATCGACGATAATTTGGTATATCAATTTAAACGTCAATGCATAACTATTAAAGCAGCTGAAGAGGGCATTTGGGGAAATTCACTTTGATAATTTGAGCGGGAAAAATTGACTGGGAGGGCTTAGAGAATGCCACATGGCAAAAATCTACTTATTTATTAGATTAGGGATATTGAATATAAAGCTATAAACATCAATTATTTTTTTAAAATAGTATTTTTACATAAATATTACGGATATAATGAATAAAACAAGTTTTTAAATATATATACTAATAAATAAAAGTTTATGAAAACTATTTTCTTTGTTTATAATTATATTCCATAACATTTTGTTTTGAAGAAATTATTATATAAGTGAAAATTATGATACGTATAAATATTAAATTATGGAAGAATTGATTATTACCTAATTTGTAGTTGTACAAAGGTTTTTTTTGTATGGTTATTGAAATTTAATTTAATGATTCTACATAACATAAATAAACCCGTATAAAATATAGAATTTACTTTTAAATTTAAGAAAATTGAAAACACAAGAAAATACTAATTTAAAAATGAAAAAAATCAAAAAATCCTACAAAATGACATATATTAAACTAAAAGAGAACATGACATTTGGCAAAAAGAAAACATTTTTATTTATTATGATAGCTTTTCATTAACACTAATTTTCTATTATTTTATTTATTTCATTCTTTTATGATTTTCATAAAAGAATGTTATATAATAAAAACACTAATTTTCTTTTATGATTTCACTATGTTATATAACAAAAACACAAGTAATTATAGTCTTTGTTACAAGTATGTTTATAGAAAGAAATATGGTCTCTAAAGCTTCAATTCTATTTATAAATTCATTATTTAAATTGTTATTTTTTATTTTTATTGGTATAAAGCCACTCGGTGTATAGTACACCATGAACCTTGTACTCTTGTAGTAGAAGTATGCATAGATCGGGCCATACGAATCTTGAATCGGACCACCGATCAGGTTCAAAGGTTCAAGCCCACCAGACCAAAAAGACCGGTCGGGTTCACGCTCGGTTTGGCCTGATGCATGACAAAGACATTTATACATTTCCCCAATCAACATACTATTTTCCGATTTAACAAAACCCACGTGAATCCACATAATCCGTAATGCACAACACCTTCCTATACCACAATTCTACTCAATAAAAACCAAACACTGTACAACAACAATCACATTCAAAATCAACCCTAACCCTGAACAGCCAATTCCTGCAAATGTTCAATAAAAACCTCCAAACTCACATCATCAGTCAACACAACCTCAGCCCCATCAACAACATAACTCGACTTATGTGTAACCGAAGGGTTCAACTTTGCTAACAAAAACCTCGCCTGACTACTATGCTGCTCACACCTCACTACTTTCGGCACCGGAATCCGCTCAGCCGCCAGCTGAGCCGCCTCAATCTCCACCGCCTCCAACAACCTCCTGAAATTCTCATGCCCCGGATCCTTATCATACCCCATTTTCATCCACTGCCCTATCTTCGATCCATAATGAATCACCACATAAAAATACGAATCAAATAGCAAAATCACATCCGGTGACACCGACCCGATATCCAAAAGAACCGGACCCGGTGGCCCGTCAAACGAAAACCGGGTCAACGTCGGTTGGATCATAATCAACGACCCAATCACCGATTCCCGATTCAACATCATTTGAAAAAACGCGGTTTCATCCGGACTACTATTGAAAACATCTATAAATTGTGATCTTCTTAAATGATACATGAATTGTGGGTAGAGAGAAAAATTTGCAGATAACCGGAAAGATCCAGGATCTTCCGGAATATAATCCCCGAACTTTCCGGCGAAACGGATAAGCTCCTTATCGAGCCACCGTACGACCTCCCTCGGAAAATTCCTTTCCGTCTCCCGGACCGCCAACCTCGCCATGACTGCCGCCGCGGTCTCCTGGTCAAACCCGGCGGCAATCTCTGGTGCCCCGCCGCTAACCCACCGCCGAGCCGCCGACGTCACGCGTTTCCTAAACCCCATGTTTCCGTGTCGATATTTTGTTATGAATTGTATGAAAAACGCGGTTCCCGGTTGTGCTTTTTGTTCTTGGGTGATTTCAAATAAAAACGTGATGCATGTTTTATCGGTTATTGTCCCGAGTTTCCAAATGTTCGACCCGTTTTGTTTCCGGGTCGAAACACACGGGCCGATTGCCCCGGATACTTTCACGTCTTTTGTTGTGATTATTTCGATTGTTACATCGAAACACATGTTTAAAAACCCGTCTTCATCGCGCGAAAAAATGTGGCGTAAACATTTTTTGAATTGATCCGATTCGAATGATTCGGATAGCATCACGAACCCGCCGGATCGCTCCACCGCGGGTCGGATCTCCGTGACCCCGATTTGATCCAACGAACACGCAAAAAGATCGAGAACCATCGATAAATCGGATAGTTTTTCGGATATTTGTTTATAAAAATCGGAAGATTTTTTATAAAAAACGGTGTTCCCGGTGTTGATGTCTCGGTGGGTTCGGATTGATTGGTTGAGATCTTGGGATACGATTGTGCCGGGACCGATGGTTGCGGGCCCGGATGTGAATACCATGATGCGGGACCCGGTGGGGACTAGAGAACCTTCTAGAAGGGCTATGGCGACTAGTATGGCGGCTCCGGTACACCGGGGAGGGCGGTGGCCGGAGGATGGTGGTGGTGAGTGGCGGATGTCTTCGATGGCGGTGGTAATGTTGAATTCACATTCGGAGATTGGTAAAATGAAATTGTGTTTTTGTGTATTTTGTGGTTTTCCAAGTTGTTGTCTTGTGGGATTGATTCCCAGAAATTCTATGATCTGATAATGAAAAAATAAAATGTTAGAAAGTGTAAGAATGTAAATTGTTTTGTATTTAGATGACATTGCTATAAGTAGGAGTGGATTTTAAGAAGTACAATGTTGTAATAAGAAGAAATGAAAGTAGGGTGCTATAATAAACAAGTCAATGAAAGTATATTGCTACTTCTTGCATTCAACCCTTTTACTGATTATGTTAATGAGAGGAAAATGTAAGGCATTAAGCTATCTCATCAATATTCATGTGATTTGGTGAGTAATGTAATAATTTGTTTTCTCCCCATCAAATCCATTAAGTCAAAAAGAAATGGCATGAAAATTCTGATTTATAAAGAAACTTTTCTCACAGTTTTGGGAACAATAAATAATCAAAAAGGAAAAAACATGCAATAGTATATATCCAGTTAGTTTGCATAACGAACTAAGTTACAGACTTACAGCTTGATTTACTTGCAAATTGAAGAATTATTGGGCATCCGAATAAGAACTATAATCAATTTGTGGATTTGTTTTTTCATTTTTCAGGAAGTTTCTAGCTACACTAGAGTATGTATTCATAATTCAGAGCAAGATGAAGATGAACAGAAAAGAAACGAATTTGGAATACCTGGCTAGAAGAAGGCTTGCGTTCACCATGTAAGACAACCACCCGTGAACACTCAGTAAACCCAAGATCATACACCCTCACCATTGAATCAAAAACAATCAACCCTACCATGGCATTTTCCGGCAACTGTGCAACAATCAACAGCAACTCATTCTTAAGTGCTTGAAGTTCATCCTCACTTGAACTACCATCAACGACAAAAACAAACACCGGCCAAATCCCCATCCCCCTCTCTGTTAACCCTCGTTGATCTAAACTCGACAAAGAAGACGAAGAAAACGAGGAAGAATTCGATTTAGCCAACCCTGATCCGTTACTAGTTCCCCAATTGTGAACCGGATTGGAATTCATCCGGGTCGGGGTCATCAAACCCTGGTGACCTAATTGGTATTCAACAGTACTGTAAGTTGGGAAAAGCTCAGCAGGAATATTGTTCTCGCCGATTTCGGCGTACGATCTTGGAAATGAATTCTTCTGATAACAAAAAGGGCAAATCCAGATTCGAGAAGGGTAATCGACACGAGCGTACGGGTTTAAGACGGAGCCACATCGAGAACAGATCAATGGATCGTAGGATAGGAGTGGAAGTTCGTTGAATTTCATCAATGGAGTTTGCATTATGGACAAAGGGATTATCAGATCGTTTGATTCGGTTCTTGATACTGGCCATGAATTCCATGACCATCGTAGGCCTTCGATTGCTTCCAATTCGACGAAATCCATTTTAATTAGCTTGAAACTAAGTCGGAGTTGCGTTCGCCATCAAGATTACTTTCTTGGATCGAAGGGTTTCATCCAAGTTTATGATTGTTTCAGGAAACACTGGCCAGCATAGATGACGATTCCGAGGAGAGGAAAAGTGATACACGTGATGTCACGTGCCTTTTTTTTTTTTTTTTTCTTGGAGTGTTTTCAAGTTTTCATCATATTTTTACACATTTTAATTAGGATTATATGAAAAGCCATTGTAGTTTTAGTGTTTTACTCATTTTAATTAGGATTACTAGCCTATATATGTTATAAAACTAATTATAAAACTTTTCTAGGAAAATAGATATCGCGCTTATAAAATTATTGCAGTGTTTTATTCTCGTAAAGTTGATTGTCATACCCATCATACTATCATTCTGTATAAGTCTACATTTTTCACTACTCCATGTAATTCATATCTTATACCCACCACACCATCAAAATAAATTTATTATTTTTAATACAAGTATTATTTATCGAATAAAAAATAATATAAAAATTACAAATATTTTACCCTAACGGTTTTTTTTCAAATCTGGTATCGTTCGAAGGTCGTCGACTTCCAAATCATCTATCTCCCTTACAAGGAATTCTAATTCCGCCTTTGTTTTGCATCATAATCTTTTCTTGTGGTACAATTAAATATTCGCCTATTTTTATATTCTACGAAAAGTTATTAAAAGAAGACGATGCAACTCTTTTGTTTTATCCCTTCAAATCGGGGTCGAGGTTGTTTTGATGCGACGTCGTCGTCTTCGTCATTAAGGTTGATATGACAACGTGTGTCGATGTTATTTGTGTAATCTTTAGATTTAGATGGCTTTGACCTTTTAAAGCCTCGTGTTTCATCTGACATCAATAAAGCCCTAATCTGCAATTTCGTAGTATATACCAACTTTTGTGGCGGCTAAACAACTTCCCAAAATTTTCAATATGTCATTTGTAAATGTCCATGTCGTTGGCACTAGTTTGTTTGTGTTACTAAGTTGTTGTAAATATTGTTGAAATTGTTGATCTTTTGTTTCAATTCACGGAACATAAAAATACTTGTCGATAGTCTAGCATTTCTAACCCATTGGGTTATAGAATTAGGCCATGAAATGCTCCCCAAAAGCACATGTTTTTTTAGCATTCTTGGTCGAGCTATCTGTTGGAGATATGCCTATCGACGTAACATGTTAATTAAACGATGATTAATTGCATGACCCTATTTGGGTTACATAGGTGGCTCAACTAGAATAAAATATAATTTAATTAATTAATTAATTTTTTATTTGTAAAATAACTAGAGGTGAGTAAAACCAAACCCAAAAACTATAAACCGACGAAAATCGATGAAACCGCTGAAACAAAAACCAAACCAAAGCCAGGGATTAGATTTCACAAACAAAGATCATTTTCGGTTTCGATTTTTGGTTATGAAACTGACCCAAACCTAGAAACCGGCCCATAATATATAATTCTAATTATAATTATATTTAATATGTACTTTAAAAAATAAAAAACTAAAATATGGAACCTAACTTAGTAAGTAAAGATTAAAGATTGGTATTTTAATGGTGTTTTCATGTTTTGATTGTAATGAATTGTTATTGTTTTATTTTGATGGTGTTTTCATGTTTTGGTTATAAACATATAAACTTTGTAGTTTTAACACTTCCTTGAATTATTAAGTTGGTTTGTGTTGTTTTCGATTGGTTTTAAATGGTTTGAATAGTGGAAAACGAACCTAATTTATTTTGTTTACATTTGTCGGAAAATGGGTTAAACCCAAAACTCACGGGTTTAAACCCCAAACCCATGAACTTATGGGTTGAACCCAAGAAACTGAGAAACCGAACCCAATAGGTTCTAAAAACTAAAAACCGAAACTAGTGGGTTCAGATCAGTTTTGCCCCAAAACTAATCCATGATCACCCCTACAAATTAACAAGAAGTTAATTACTAATTAATAATGAGAAATTAATTTTTTATTTATTGATTCATCAAATAAATAACTAGAAATTAATTAAGAAGACTAATTATGCAATAATAACCAAAAGGTTTGTATAATGCTAATGTTACCATAGTTGATCAAATTTTAAATGCTAAGAAAGGCTATTGGGGTTGAGGCAAGACCAAAAGGAGTCTCCATGCAAGGAAAACCCTAATAAATTCATTCAGCCTCCTCTTCCTCTCCTCTCTCTATTTGATAGCACAAAAACACTCTATTAGTGTTGGTTTTGTTTTTGCTTCACCACCAAGGATAAAATGACTTGAAGGTCTTGCTTGTTTATAATCAAGGGGTGTCATTATATTAGAGAGATTTTACTTTGGATCCTTGATCTTATTGACATCATAAATGTATTCTTAACAAACCCCCTTGTAGATAGTTAGTTGTTATTTGTTGTTGAACAATGATCTATGGTTCAATCATAATGTTATGTCAAATTGCTTCCGTTGCTTATGTATTTCGATATATCGAAATTAACATCATGATCCAACATTATCCTAAGAAAATGTTGACTCAAGCAGCACGACACAATGTCGCTTTCTCCTTTTCATTTCTCTTGTTGTTTCTCGGTATTTTTAGAGCTCTTAAATCTGTGGTGGTTCGGTTTGTGTTTCGGAAACTTATTTAGGTTGTATATCAGGGACATATTCGAGTTGGAAATAATGCATAGGGGTGGGGTTTGGAAATGTTGCATTTGAGATAAATTATTTATGTGAATTGAACAAGTTGGTAAAACTAAGTTGAGGTGAATGGACGAGATGCACATAACGTAGTGATAAAAAGATGGTGATGAGTTATTTAGCATGAAGGGATCATCGAATCTTGGTGTTGTTAAAGTTGTGAAGCAATTTTTATTTGATGGTGGGGTGGTCTAGTTTGGTTCCATTTGTGAGAAATTGGTAGGGCTTAAGAGAGAAAGTTGGATGAAGTGTGAAATAGAAGTGGTAGATGTTTTGTATGTTGAAAAAAAGGATGATATATTAAACGGTATCGTTGGATGTTAAGGGCAGCATCGGTCACCACTCCACAAAGACATCACACACCATGGAAACGGTGCGCACGACAAGATAAATGGTTGTTCAACATGGACATCAAAACTTAGCCTTAAAAATACACTGTATAGTGAGAATTTATAACTTTCTAACACAAATAATGGTTTGCATTTTTAATCATATAGATGAACGAAGATATTTATCGGTTGTATTATTATTATTATTATTATATATTTATAAATATATCAATCGTATTATCAAATGTGGCAATTAGATAGATTAGAGGGTTTCTAGGTTAAAACGAATATATTTCAATAAATGTTAAGTCGGAATAAGTTGACTTGCAACTTATTTATGATTACAACTTATTTAATTAGAGAAAGTGATATTGATACTAAAAGATTGTATACGTTTTAGTACATTTTGATTATTTTCAAAAAAAAAAGGATTATGATTTAACCAATTAGATATAAAATAAAACTAAGATGTAAAAAACATAGACTACCAGCTTATTTATATAACAATACCAAACCTCATGGCCCATAAGAATGCGGTAAGGGCCTAAGGGGGGAGGTAAGATGATAGAAACTATTTCCAAAAAGGACAAGGCAAACAAAAATAAAATTAAAAGAAAAACGCAATAGAAAAAGACAAGAAGCCCGGAAATAAAATCTCCTGAAATAGAAAATGTTTCCATACCCAATAAGTAAACCACAAATGTTTCCAAGTGATACACATATCAAAACCTCATAGAGTTATTACAACCAAACCAATTCAAATTCTTCAAGTTTTCCTACCTCACAAGAGGCTTCCCAAAAGTCTAAATAGATCTCAAACAAATATTTAGGGCTCCATTCCATTCGCTACACGGTACAAGACTAGACACAACAGGATTTGACAACACTGTGCAAACTTTCTAGGACTATTTTCATGAACCTGTCCTGTCGGTCACATTTTTTTAGATGGGACAAAAGCTACAAATTTTGTCCCAATCCAATTCAAATCAAACACAGTACAACATGTTTGTTATGTTACGTCTTGTCATGTCATGTACTGCGTAGCAAACAAAAATATAACCTAATAAACTTCAACATGCCACTGCTTATTCTTCTTCAACTTGGAAAGCTTATCTTCCCACTTCTCCCCTCTTCCTTCCGCAACTCTCTTAAGAGTGTCTTGAATCCCGGGCATCATTCCTTTAAGCCCACAAAAATAAATATGAGCCCCTTCATCCAACAACTTAAACACCTCATCGCTATATTCTTCGATTTTATCTTGAACATACATTTTTCCTCCATTTCTATTCTTTTCCTCTCGGCTAAGAGCTATATCGTATCGGAAGTTACCAGGGTTATCTTCTAGATACTTCCGGAACTCTTCATCATAAAGTAGAGCATCCTTATTGGCTACCCCAAGGAACAGCCAAGCCAGACCCGTGAATTTTGGTTTAGGGATTGATTCCATGAACATTCGCCGCAGGTAGCCACGGTATGGGGCCACCCCCGTCCCCGTCGCGATCATGATGTGAGTCGCCTTCGGGTTCTCTTCCGGTAAAAGCATGATTTTTCCCGATGGACCTGTCAATTGTGAAAGCGGTTGTTTTAGGTTAATTGATGCTGTAATAGAAAAAATGGAAATATGATGTTGTAATAAACAAATAGATAAAAGTATGTTGCTATTTCTAGGATTTGATCATACTTATATTCATTATTTGTTATAGCATCTTACTTTCATTTTTTCGTGTTATAGCATTGTGCATTGAAAATTCTCTACTGAACTATAACAATGTCATCCATATACAAAGCAATTTTCACTGCTACAACTGAGTAGATTTTTCAAAGTATAATGTCCTAATAAGAAAAAAAATTGAAGGTACAAAACTATAATTAGGTAGATTTTTCATAGTGCAATGCTTGAATAAGAACAAAAAAGTAACAAAAAGAAGTGAAAGTAAGGTGCTGCAAACACAATAATGAAAGTATGTTACCAATCTTTTGTATTTAGGATGAACAAAGTGATGGAATAAGCAACATAATCGAATAAATCATTGTTGGGATCAATCTCATGCATCATCTTCTCCGCAATGTTTT